GGGGGGGGGGGGGGGGGGGGAGAATCATAAAAATAAAAATGAGACCTCAATCTCTCAGCAAAACAAAAACTACAAAAGGATGAATGGATTGGCGAGGATGAAAACATGGACACAGCGGAAATTGGCTCGGAGTCATGGATTAGCCGCGCAGGTAGGGGCAGGGAAACGTGCTGCGCAGGAACATGGCCCCGTGTGACACGGAGGGCCGGGCCGGGCCGGACAAGCACGCATCCCTCTGTCACAGGCACTCGCCCTGGCCTCCTGATCCCCACGGGAGTCCGTCTACCCCCAAAAACCCCTCGCTTCCACTGCTGGGCCCTGTGGAAATCAGCTATCCCCCCAAGCACCCCCCCCAACTAACGCTGACAAGTGCCGTGGAGCCAAGTTCAACAGGAAGCGAACCTTTTCCCAGTCTGCGTTACACTTTTAATTTTTACTATATTTGAATATAGTAAAAACAACGACAAAAGTAAAAAAAAAAAAGAATGTTTTTTGAAAGATGATCTCTGTGGCTTTTTAAAATAAACACTGCCCGTTACCGTGCTTGACTGCGTGCAGGATATGCAGGCGGCAGGCCTTTGCCACAAACACTACACGCCGTGGTTTTTCTGGACACGGACGGCGAATTCCCCAGAGAGGTCTGACAGCTCCAAGACACGTGCAAGCAGAACGCCCAGCACTCGCAGGTCAGGTGGAGCGGGTCTGGCGATTAGCAAGACAAGGCCTTGCTAAACGTGCACATAAAGGATCTGAGCAATCAGAGCTCTTTATGAGCCTCCAGGAACCAAGCGCCGGGCAGAAGCAGCCAGCAGGGGCCAGCTGTGAGCAGGGCCAACAGGGCGGCGCCATACCTTGTTGAAAACCCAGATCTCTCCGTTGACGGTGGGCCGCGGCACGCCATGCCCATTGTAGTGGAACAGCACCCGCTCCTCCTTGGCGTTGCGGCGCAGGGAGGTGCACAGCTTCTTCACCTCATCCACCGTGGGGTCCAGACTCTGCTTGTAGCGAGCCTGCAAGGGCCGAAGAGGAGGGAGGGAGGGAGAGAGAGAGAACAGCTGAGGCACGGGTCTGCACTGCTGGTGCTCCACTGCCACCCTTCCGAAAGAAAACCACTTGCCCCCCACATCAGGACCTGCACCCCTGCGTTGCACCACGTCGGCCGCTCGCATGTCGGGATCCGAACACACTGGGCCTCCTGCAGCAACGCGCTTAACAAGTGGTGTGTGTTGCACTTACGATGCCTCTAAAAAAAAGGCATTTGAAGGCAGCTTTTTGTCCTTTTTTACAGTACAACAGGGAATCTCGCACTCTGCCGCAGTGCAAAATCGCCAGTCCGCTAGCAGCACACTGCCAGGACAGCAGTCGCCTATGCAGTCCAGCTCGGCAGGCGCCCCGGCCCTCCTCACCCCACACTGAAGCTGCAACATGGGAAATGCGTGATCACTAGACAAGCACGAGACCGCACTGACAGCCGGAACAGAAAACGGGGCCTTACAGCTGAAATCTTATCAGAAAATATGTTTCCAATCGCAACTCTTATCTCTTTACCTTAGCAAATTCATAGGACGAATTCTGGTTTGCGTTCGGCTTCTTTCACGGGCTGATTAATTCAATTTTTAAAGCTTTAATCTACCCGGCCCTTTTATCCCAGCCTGCACATCTGTGGAGAGACAGGTACACTGAGACACAGATGGGGGCAGGGGGGGGTTGGGGGTATTAATACCCGTCGCTGTCTCACAAATGTGGAGCAGGAGGCCCACAAGCCCCGGGATTAGACCCCACAGGGACAAAGAGACAACACGCATCACAAACACAACTGATCCTGAATAAGCCAAGAATGACACTGACAGTCAGGCTAGGATTCACCCCCCCCCCGGCCATAATCCTCAGAGATCTCCCCTCCTAGGGAGGGGCAAACAGGAACACCCCACTTCTCTTTCTGAAAAAAAAAAAAAGAATTTTTGCCATGTAATCTGCATCCGTATTTTAAAATTGAGAATGACTGTCAAAACCACACTATAAAATATATTTCAGTTCAGTTAAAATGGTTCATTAGACTAGAAATAGAACAGCAAGACACTGCAGCCCAATACTGTTACTGAACTGCAGCTACAGTACAGCATAGACCAGTCGCTACAGAATAACGACTACAATCCAGTACATCATGGATAAAGATCAACAGAGAATTGCAACTACGAGAGGACAAGAAGGACAATTCACATTGAACACAATTCTAGACCAATACTACTACTAAATAATAGCTAGCATGGCCCCAGACTTTCCCCTGAACCTTTGAGCTGTATTCCTCTAGGCTGCAAGATATCTGAGAAAGTGGACAGCATGGGATCAGCAACTAATCTCTCCCAATGTATTTGCTTGGAAACCTCATTGTGAGATTAGTTAAGATCCACACAGCTATGACGGCTTTGCACTTCTCCGTTACAAAGTAAGATGTCTAAATCCAACTGCCTCTGTGACTGAAGTAACGACAGCCACATGGCCAGTCCCTGTGATAGCATATCTTGAGTCTCATCAGCAGTCTGTGGAGAAAACAGACACTTTCAGTTTGTTTTTTTCCAAACCTTTCCAGCTGGAATCCATCTGCCTGGCTCAGTTTCCCAAATAGTAAGATCTTACATAATCAGATGTTACACACAGCCTGTTTGTTCACAGTGCATTCATTAAGGCTCACCTCACCAGTGAGCCAGGCCTGAACATCACAGCACTCTTATTAAACCTTCATCTCCCCTTTCACAGTCTGCAGCAAAAACCTTTCCTTACCAAGTACAAGTATCCTGTATCCAAACAGACACATTTTGCCGCTGCATTGTACCTTACAGTAGACGAAGATGATGTGCCATTTCCATGTGGAAATCAATTACTATGCTACTCCCTGGGTCCCGATGTGCAAATTCATACATTGTACTTGATAATGTGATATCTTATAATAAGGAAAACTCTGATCTTTGGTACCGAGACAAATGTTTCGAGATGTATGATTAGACATCCAGTATCAAAACATCCGGGTGTGCTCTTGATCCACATCCTATTGGATTAATAGTAAATAATAATTGCTTACACTTATATATAGCGCTTTTCTGGACACTCCACTCAAAGCGCTTTACAGGTAATGGGGCTCCCCTCCACCACCACTAGTATGCAGCATCCACCTGGGTCCTTCTCAGAAGCAGACCTGCTTACTACATTACTTCTGGGGAAGGCGGAAATAAACAACCTGAAGTATCAAATACTACAAAAACAAAGAAAGGAAAGGACTGACTCAAAAGGCAACTTTAAGAGTCCTGCTGCTCCTACTGCACTGTTGAAGCTCAGGAGGGAGTAGGATAGAGCCCCAGCTGTGTGAAGCAGAGAAAGGGTGTCACTTGCCCCGTCAGGCCTGCAGGGGGAGCTCCTGGCCATCTCTAGAAGACCCAGCAGTCATGCTGTCCAGGCAGAGTGGAGAGCAGGGGGCTACTATGACGAGCCATTACAAACGGCTGCGAAAATGGAACTCAATCGCATTCATAAAGGACTTCCTACATTTTAAGGTTTAATGTCAATACTAACTGGGAATGCGAAGAGATGAAGGATAAAAAAAAAATAAAACTAACATTTTACAGGCCCTTGCAGTCTGTGGTCTAAATTTAAGAACTTAATAACCCAATTGAGCTGAGAGTACTGATGGAGAGGCATCTGAAATGAAATTATCCTGTACTTATGTGGACAATTTCCACTATCTCCACTGAAATATAACACAGTATAACAAATTTAGTTAAGCCCAGCACAGTTCAGTGCATTATAATTAGCGAATGTGATGACCTCATTTTGCCTATAACAACACCAGAAAACGAAACAAATTATATTTGGACAGGCACATATGAGTATATTATGTGGCCATTATTTGTTTTCCACACAATTCAGCCACTCGGAGCATAATTGTTGCATTTCTATTGTGAGCTACACTGCAAAATCCTCTGAAGGCTGGCCAACCTACATGAAATTCATATGTATATAGAAATTGACAGCAGCCATATCACCCTGCAATTCACAACTTGCAGCCTACCGAAGCAAGGCAGATATGAACCTGGACAGTACCTGGATGATAGACCAGGTTGGTTGATGCTGGAAGAGGTGTTAGTGGGGCCAGTAGGGGGCGCTCACCCTGCAGTCTGTGTAGGTCCAACTGCCCCAGTATAGTGATGGGGACACTATACTGTAAAATGGCACCGTCCTTCAGATGAGACATAAAAACGAGCTCCTGACTCTCTGTGGTCATTAAAAATTCCAGGGTGTTTCTCGACAAGTACACACTGGCCTTTACCAATCATGGCCTCCTAATAATCCCCATCTCTGAACTGGCTTCATCACTCTGCTCTCCTCCCCACTGAGAGCTGGTATGCGAAAAGACAATTCCTAATGCAATAATTTTTATATGGCCAATAAAGGGATCTTATCTTATCTCAGCATGACTTCCATACCCTGCAGCTCCTCTACACTGGATTTTTATTTTTTTTTAAACACCACAAAATCGTAATGGCTATCTGAGCTACCGAAGCACGAACACCGCAAACAGGAGCCCGATTTAAATTATTTCAAATAACTGTAAACAAAAAATTCCACTGCTGTCTGCCACCTTCACGGCCTGCCTCCATTCAGTCAGCAATTTCCTCTTGCCATCTGGAACGGACCATAAAAAAAATTGAGCGCCTTTGGAATAAAACTAGCATGCTGGGTCGGCTGAAGCACACATACCCCTTCAGATGAAAACAGACAACAATGCCCTCCTTCAGTGGCCTGGAGGCTCTCCGTTCGCCTTCAGCATTGCGTTACATTACATAACAGCACTCACAGGCTCCCGGGACACTGCAGCTGAAGGATTGTCAGCTTTTAATCCTAGGATTCTGCTCATTTCGCTTCGTATTTGAACTTTTTATTGTTTTGATTCTAAGGAGCTTGTGCTCAGAGCAGGATCAGAGACCTTACCCCTCATCTGCAGTGTTCGATGGATCCGATGCAACTTTAATCCCACGAAACCGTGGCCATGCGGAAACACTCCTCATCCAGCCTCACCGCGTTACTCGGCCTGACTCGGGGCCTTCGACTCATCTGTTTTTCCCGGATTATAAATGGACGTAAGCTATATCCAATGCAGAGATAAAGAGTACATGCAGAGTACAATTTTCAAGGAACCTAGATCCTTTTGGTGATCATATACAAACCACAAAGCATGAGACCGGATCAAGAGATGGTGAAGCATTCAGAATACTTTATGACGCTGGGGGCAAAAACTAATCTTTACAATGATCCTGCCTAATGATCCTGACAGAGCTGGAGCCCCTGCACAGCTCCGTATAGAGTGTCAGGACTTCACAAATTATTTGCAGTTTTTTATTGCACAAATTAGCGTTTGAGGGCAAATTCTGCCTCTCCATTTAGGTGGTACTTGTGTTATGTCGTTTTCTCATACGTGCCGGTTCAGCTTATAAAAAGAAAAATGTTCACATATTGTAGATGAGGAGATGGGGAATCTGCAGAGCTGAAAGTTTCTTCTTTTTGCCTATTATCTCTGACCTTTAATAATATACACCACACAGCGCCTGAGGGGAACTAGTGTGGAGGAAACAATGGAATGAGCAGGACCTCAGGAGGTTAACAATGCATGTTTCACGAGTTAAAATGTATGCGCTCTGATGAAAATACAGTAAGGTCTCGAAATTACAACTACTCCCCATGTGCCTGTCCAAAACCCTAAAACCTGAATATTTATATACACATGCATTACACTGAACTGGTTATTAGGATATCTGTTTTTGTTTACAGTTCAATCGATTATTGTGGTGATTTGTCTTTTACCATCCATTGCATTGTGTGTGAACTTTAGATTGTCCTCTGCATCTTGCTCCCACCACTGCAAGGCGACCATGAAGATTATGAACGCGTTTAGAAAATGAGACAAGGACATTACCAATACCAAGGGACAACTCACTAGACAGAGACAGAGCCGGCTTCC